TGAGCAGCAAATCAGCATATTAGAATGATTTCTGAAGATCATGTGACACTGAAGACTGGAGTAATGATGCTGAAAATACAGCTGCGCATCACAGAAATACATTACAGTTTAACAGAGATTCACATAGAAAACAGTTTTCTGTTTTACATTATAATAATATTTAACTATTTTTACTGTATTTGTATCAAATAAAGGCAGCCTTGGTGAGCAGAAGAGACTCTTTCAGAAACATTTAAACCCTAAACTCTAACAGTAGTGTAGTATTTGTATCACAGGTCATTTATATTTCTGTGGCAATAAATTAAAATTCTGTGCTGAATATGACATCAGTTGTTTCAGAAAAATGACAGTAATTGTCCTGTGATGGATGTGTGTGTGTCCATGATATGTCCATGGATAAAATTATGACTCTGTTGTCTGTCTAAAGTACAGTCTCAAGTAAAGAGAAATAATGAAATAATATTTCCAGCATTTTTCATTATTTGACAAAGTTACAGCTTGATTGTAGATGACACAACAGGTAGCCTATACTGTTCACAAGTGATATTTCCCCAGTAAAAAAGTCATATATTTAAAATACATTTATTTCATACTAAGTATAGTTCAAATCTATTAACATATTTACTGAGAGATAACTCAAGACTTACTGATCTAAAAATTATTTGGAGTACTACTTGTGCACAAAGCACATTTCTTAATATTAAGTCTAAAATGTGTTTTAATGTCACTTTTGATGAGGATTGTATGATCTTTGAATAATGTCGGTCTTCAAATTCAAGATATTTAAAGTGTACTTGCAATAGTTCCACTTTAGCACAAGCAAATGTACTTCAGTCTATCTTTAATTGGACTTACTTCCGCACAATTAAAGTGCATTAACTACAAAATTAGTTGTTCCAATTAGGCAGACTTTACAGTTTTTCTCGATTGCTAAAACACAATTTCTGAAATCTTGCTCCATTTTCTGAAAACATTAAACACAAAACCTCATCTTCAAGCACTATTTAAAAAACCCCTGACTCCTCTCGCAAAATGAAACTTTCGCCTCAAAACAGTTTTACCTGTGTTCAAAATCAAACATTGCTCTCAAATCATAAACAAAGTGATCAAAATGATATACACTATCAAGCAGTCAGTAAACAATACACCAAAAAATAGAAAACACATTGTTCAAAACATATAGTTCTCAGGGAGAAGTAAATTTTTAATCTCAAAACAAATGTAATATTTTTCCGTCATTGTCTTTTGATGAACGAAAACATGTTCTATCATAGTAGCTCAAAACTGATCAGAAATTACTACTCTGCTTTGCTCTTTGCAATTTTTTTTGTTCTTCCTCCTCCTTGTACCCCTATTTTTACAGTAGGGCCTACTGTACCCTGCATCTCACAAACTTGTCCTTTGTCTCTGTGATACTGTAATTCTTGTTCTTTGTTGCTATGAACCTGCAACCAGTCAAAATCTATTGAGCAGTCAGTACTGTTAACAAATGGAAAGCACAATGTTCAGGGCCATACAATTTGTTCATTGTACAGTATACAGCCTACAATGCACTGTACTACAGTATACAATACTAAAAGGGACAAAAATCAAAGGAGTAAACATGTGATCAATGTGCTTCTTCTTGTCTTTGGGCTGGGTCAGGCCAGAGCACTTCGTCGACATCACAAGCAATATTGTCCCTCCTGAGGCAACGAGGGAAGAAGCCTCTTGTGTGCCGTATCCAGCCCTGGCATGATTCCTCACCTATATCACCACAGGCTAAATCCATGGCTTGCAGCAGATTTACTCTGGTGTAGGGTTGTCTATCATATACTTTCCATCTCCAAGAGGAGAAAAACTCCTCAATCGGATTCAGGAAAGGCGAGTATGGAGGGAGGTACAAGTTCATAAACTGCCCATTGATGTTAAACCATTCCCTTACCTGAGCAGCTCGGTGGAAACTGACATTGTCCCACACTATCACATAGGTGGGAATGGGATTCTCATTTAGCTCTTGACCCTGCTGCTCTTGAACCTGCTGCTCAAATAAAATATATCTTAGATTGGCAATAAATCTTAGAAGGTGCTGGGTGTTATATGGCCCGAGTGTAACATGGTGATGTAGAACACCATGGTTGCTGATAGCAGCACAGATTGTGACATTGCCACCTCGTTGACCAGGGACTTCAACAATGGCCCGCTGTCCAATCATGTTTCGGCCTCTCCTTCTCCTCTTTGTTAGATTGAAGCCTGCTTCATCGACAAAGATGAAGTCATGGGGTCTGTCCAAGGATTCCAAGTCAAATATTGTCTGTGTAGAAATACAATATACTGTATTTAGAATTTTGTAAATCGTACAGAGACAGTGCTATACTGTAGAGTACAATTAGGCCTACTGTATGCACTTCTGATTCACATACATTGTATGTACTGAAGAGTAATGTCATTCACGTAGTATGTGTTAGTACTGTAGACAATCTGGATTACAGTAAATGTTTCTGAATGTACACTTACTTGCACATACTGAGCTCGCAGTTCTTTCACCCTTGGTGAGTTGCGCTCAAAAGGTACTCTGTATACTTGTTTAATTCGCATCCTGTTACGATGGAGGACACGGTCAATTGTGGAAATGCTCACACTGTCGATTCCCTGGAAGTGTGTGTTGTCTTGTATCACTCGTTCCTGGATTTCTCTGAGTCGTATTACATTATCTTGAAGGACTATGCCCACTATAACGGCCTCTTGCTCCCAAGTGAATATAGCTGTCCTTCCACCTGCATGTGGCAGCCTTGCAATTCTACAAAAAGTAGATGTGCAGTTACAAAAAATATTCATGCAGTACTATACATACAGTGATGAACTTTACAAATGTCTATTGAAACAGCTGCATATAGTGTAGTACAGTAAATTTGCTATTACAAAAATACAGTAGTATACTGTACCTGTTCTCTTCTCTGAATGTCCTTACTATGGTGGACACAGAAAATCGGCTCAAATTGGGTTGCACTCTAAGTCCTGCTTCCCTCATTGTC